ATATTATGGTGTAGTACAATGATACAGGAAGTTACTAGAATGCCCCTAATTAGTGATGGGACACCCAGACAACTTAAAACATTAAACAGGATTAGGCCCATTAACAAAGGCCCAGTACAGGACAACTTAAACTTAAGTATAGGCTAATAAGAATTCTTATCAGCCGAATACTCATACATACAAAGACTTCAATCCAACAATACATATCAATAAATTGAACCTTGCACCCAACTACATGTCTCAAGAACAGGACTGGATAGTGAGCTGCTGAGATTGGTAGTTCCAAGCTCTACTTATTTTGTCTAGGGCCGAGAAGTTCAGAAATAATCTTAGCACAGTTTCATAAATAACTCTAGCAAAATATATGAAGAGAACAATGTATTCCTTTATTGATCAACTCTAAAATTATTTATCCTACTAACTTTAACACAAATAAAATAATGTTAAAAATAATAAATACAAAGAATAATCATTTGATTATAAGAACTAACCAAATCAATGAATTTTAAAGGGGGAGCATTTGGTTCATATCAGGGAACCAGAAAGGCAAGCAATTCCCATTGTACAAGTTCCTCCAATCATCTCCAGATATTGAAACATTCAATTATACTGTAGAACCATCTTTTGCTTTTAACATATTAAAAGTTGAAAGAAATTCGCATGAAGTCAAGTATATACTCAAGTTATAAGAGAAATTCAGATAGTTAAAAATTCCATCCGATTGCCTTGACTTTTGGTGTAGGAGTCCTAGGTTTTCAAGTTCATTGCTGAACTCTGATYTTCTGAACATGCATCTTATAGCAACTTACTGAGAAACCAGACCAGACAGACACAAAACCAACCATCCACATGTTACTCTTAACAATTGACTAGACAATAAAATACACACCTATACCAGTCTTTTCCTTGTTTCCAGTATTTTCCTTCTCTGCCATTCCGTGGTAATTTTGACAGGTAGCGCTCAATGAGGTCTAGAGTTGTCAAGCTCTGGCTAAAAACCAATGCCTTATCACCTTCTGCAGAACTCATTGATAAAATATCAAGTAGAAGAACCATTTTTCCGCTGTAATCAACCTCTCTGTAGTTCTTCTCATGAAGAAGGTTCTTCCACCAATCCTGGGAAGATAACACAATAGTAAGTATGTTCAGTATAATTAACAAATTACCGACCTATATATTAAAACAAACAATGTAAAAGAGCAGGGTAGTTAACAGCACAATCAACATTTACTTTAAGACCTATTTTAAAATGTCAAATTAATAAATAAACAAGATACATTAAATAGTACTTCACATAAATCACATTATCAATGGAGTAGCAATGAACTAGGAATAGTTAACAGGACTAACTCATCAATATATGCATGGAACCATGCATGATTAATCAAGTAATCACTGCAGATTCAACCATATATGAAGAGTTAATAGCAATAGCACATAAATATCAGCATGGACCTATGCATAACAAGTTATATACCAAAAAAAAACAAGACATAATAAGTTGCTCAAACCTCATGAATAAAACCATTATCACTTTTTCGAGGTGCACAGTCAGTCTTGATCCTCTGCTTCTCTGTTCAAAACATGAAAAAAAAAAAAAAAAAGATTATTACCTCACTGATTATCCAACCACAAAAAAAGAAAAAAAAAGTATATCCTATACGAGCATCATGAATGCATGAAAAGGATGAACACTTCATTCCCAGTAGTTTCATCTGAAAGGGAGTCTTTTCACATTCTTGAACTTTTTGCATAAAGTGCTATTTCTAGTTACAAATTGTAACTTACAATTTTATTATTGACAAAAGGAAAATCCTAATCAAGCCAAAACCATAGAGATTGGAAAATATACAGCAAACATAAAGAAAGCATAGAGATTGAGACAATAAAGGCACAAAGAACAACCCAAGAAAAAAGGACCAATAGAGAAAACCTTTTTCTTTTCAGTTTCTTTTTTGTGGAAAACTATATTTATGAGTTACCATTCATGTCACTATTCACTACCTTTATAAAAAGGACCAAAACTTACCACCCCTATACCTATTGGGGCCTTCAATGCTAAGATGAAATTAATAATCAAAATAGAAAAAATAAATAAAAGAAAGGCACACTTTCTACTTATAAAGAAATCACCTCCCTTCTAAAGTTTCCCCAAATTCATTACAAAGACAGGTCTTCACATCATTTAAATTCTAGGAAAAAAATCAGAATTACATTGGAGAAGGGGGGATACACACCTTTTAAGTTCTTAGGTCGAAAAGCTCAAGACCTTCGATTCAAGTTTGAGATGCTTGTTGGATTTTCAAAAACAGAAGGCCAATCTTTTATTGACACTTCAGTTGCTCCAGAACCTACTGAATTACCTTTGCTCTCATAATATTAATTATAACAACTGACTTTGAATTTATGGTAATGCTACAATAACCTCCTCCTTATGGCTGCAATCAGATCGAATCAAGTCGAATATAGACAGATCCAAATTTGATTCATTTATGTTTGAATTCGAATTGGAACTTATCCATCAGATTCAAATCAAATTCAGGTTGCAATTGGATATTTAATAGTATTAATAAATTAAACTAGAAATGCTAAAAATATTATATATTATTAATAAAAAGAACTAAAAATGACTTGTATAAACTTAACTTATCTAGTAAAAATGAAGCACTTAAACCAACTTTACTGATAGATACAATATCAATTTTAAGTTTATATGAGCAAATATATTTAAATCGAATTGAAACGGGTATTACAGATTGAATAGGGGTAGATGCATATTCAATTCAATTAGAAATGGAAGGTTTTAGCACCATCTTTTTTAATCAAGCACAATTACTTGCATTTGACTAAGCTGAATTTCCATTTCACCTCTTCTCGACCTGCATAGACACCCGTGCAAAAATTGAAGAACTTCTACAAGGACAAGAACTAGATGTGAACTAAATGTGAAATCAAGTCAAGGATAAGAGTCATAAGACTCAATAACATAATTTTAGCACCATCTTTTTGGAAATTCTCCAAATCCATGCTACTACACCTTAAATTTAAATGCATATGTACATCCCAGAACAGCAAGTCCTGGCAAAGATTACGGAAGCTACCCTTCTACACTTCCCTCTCTAAAAGCACATTTCTTCCAACAATTCACTTGCCTAAGTTGACAGCAAATAATATTTCCTTTTTTTTTATTTTTTAAGTGGTAAGTGGTAACTACATTCACTTGTCAAAACAATGACGATTAATTACTATTTCACTCATCATGTTTAAGCATCATAAGTAAAAGTAGTTAGGTATTAAATGATTTAATAGAAGAGTTTATTATGCAACCTGTCGCTGTCCGTACATTAAATTTTCACAGCGGTTCACTTGTCTATACATTCTTTTTTTTTTTTTTTCAAAAGCACTCTAAATGAGCAAATGTATCAGTTTGAAGCTTTTTCTTTGCCCCCAACAAGCCACAATTTACCAAAAGCATATTAATCTTGCCAAGCATCGGCAAAACACGATGTATACCTTTATCAACTAAAGTCTACCATCTAATATATGGGGGCTTAGTATCAGTATAATAATACAGCAGATCATTGCATCTGTATACTGCTTGTTTACATTTCCCATTTTGTGTTTGAAGAAACTACACAAACATATATTTGTGATGTCATTTCTGATGTAAATGGAAATTACCATAAAATGCATGAAGGATAAAGAATAGCATCATTCATACATGTTAACGTTAGTTTGGTTAAATACTAGAACATACATTGAGGACAAAGGTGCATATGAATTAATCAAGGAGTGACAAGAGATGTGGCAAAAATTTTTCTAGCTTCCCCAACAGGGTCAACATCACTTTTCACAATGCAATCAAATGATTGCTGAAGCCTCCCCTAAAGTTTGGTAATTGCAATAACCTCCCCTGAACTTTCTGACATAGCTGAAGTAGACCCCCTTTGTTATATTCCCCTAAAAAGAGGCATGAAAATGTCCAAAATACCCATGCAATTACTTTTGACCAAAATGTTCGTTTTCCAAATTTTCTCTTCATATGAGTCCTACCCCAAACACTTCCAATCTCTTTTTCTGAAATTGATTTATTTTTCAAATTTGCTCTTCATGTCAATCACTCAAAGGTAAAGCTGCAACTGTAAATTCTCTTTTTTTGTTGTTTCTAAAGTTTGTATTGTTTTTTCTTTTTCTGTACAAACCAGCATCAATATTAATTGCATGGGTCTTTTGGACATTTTCATGCCTCTTTTTAGAGGATTCTAAGAGAGGGGGTCTACTAGCAGCTATGTTAGAAAGTTCAGGAGAGGTGATTGCAATTACCAAACTTCAGGGGATGTTTCAGCAACAGTCCAAAACTTGAGGGGAGGTTCCAGAAATTTACCCTTTTTATATTTCAATATATTATACTTCACATAGAGTGTGCATCATAAATGATTGAAGTGGCCAATAATGGAATGACCAACAATCTCACATTAGGTCATAAAAAATAAAAAACTCTACATGAAAGCACTATTATAAACTACAATAGACATCCCCCCCCCAAAAAAAAAGGATCCAGTAACAGTTGAACCTAACCTATCTCATGAAACAGTGCAATAAACTGCACTGGCATAGATTTTCATGCATTCAATAAACAAAAACAAGCTACAAGTAGATACCTCCAACTTGCATTTCACGGTCAATGTTATCATCACTGGAGCTGTCATCAACAAGAAAATTCTCAACAGCATCTTCACGCCTTAAGTAGTCTTTCTGTTCTTTTGTCATCTGTAAAAGCCCAGGATGGTTCCATATCTAACAGTAAAAGTGCATATTTTCATTAGTTATCAAATAGTAAAGAAAGAAGATTAGCCAGGCTGTTAAAACTATTACAGTAAAAACAACTTCAAAATTTTAAAAGGATCTTACCTGAGCCAGTGCCTGATACCCAGTAAAAAAACATCTTGTCCTTATTTTTTCACTAGAAACCTTGTCATTTGTGAACCCATGCACATCTAGAAATCTTTTATATAACTTCCTCTGTAACGGTGACAGCTTCACAGCAATTACAAACACAGTTTTAGGGGGTAAGTCCTTCTTTACCACATTCATGTCCATCCGTTGGACAAATCCTTTTAACTGTTCATAAAGAATATGTGACCTCTGGTTCATAATCTTAACATCATCAGTGGTAGAATTAGTATGTTGACCATTCTCTATTGGATTCTGGAACCTGCACATCGAATTACATGATCAAAAGGAAACAAACCATTCAAGAATCTGTAAAATGTCATCCAACATGAAAAGCAGGGAACTGAAGATAGGAGAATAGGAAAAGGGTCACCAAAGCGCCAACCAAAGTCTTACCGGTTCCTAAACTCAGGGCTGCTACCAAGAAATCCTTCTCTTACAAAATCAACCATCTGCCACATACAAAATAGAGGTGAAAACAATATAAGAAACTTGTATATCAATTCAAAATTTTGGTACAAGTATAGAATGTCCTTACACAATAATATTCCATTAAATTATTTTGTAGAGGTGATCCTGTTAATGCAATCCTCCTCTGGCACTTCACTTGCTTCAACGCTTGGGTAATATCAGCTCTAGTATTCTTGATCATATGGGCCTCATCACAAACAAGTATATCAGGTCCATCCTGTTAAAGTAAATCAAACTTTCAACAAAGTATACTAAACATTATACATGAGAAAAAATGCTTTCAAGGATGAAAATTAAAAAAAAAAAAAAAAAAAGAGAAAGAGAAAGCAAACACATATATGGTAATATCCAAGGAAAAGAGGAAAATTTAATTATCAGCACTTTTTTTATCAGCAAAAGAAATTAATTTTATTAATGGGTGGTAAAAGTAACAACAGATTGGGTATCCATTCACCCGAAAATATATAAAGAAACAATGTCCATATAACTAATTTACAGTAGAGCCCAAAAGAGATTAATTTTATTAATGGGCGGTAAAAGTAACAACAGATTGGGTATCCATTGTAACTAGAAGTGATCCGAGAAATAGCCACTTTTGAATCTCCTTCAACTTCCAGATTTCTAAAATTCGATTGCTTAGCAAGTTTATGCCTTGTAACAGTGCCATTAGTTCAGCCTTTAATGAGTCTCTTTCTCCAATAGGTCCTGAGTACATAGCCAGCATCTTACTAGAAGAGTCTCTAAACAARCCACCAATGCCTGCCATCCCTAGGTTTCCTATAGAGCTCCCATCAAAATTTAACTTTATCTTATCCCTTGCTGGTGGCTTCTATTCATCATCTCTCTTTCCTTTTGTTTCGAAGAGTGTGCCACCTCATTCCAAGCCCTTATTATATCAGTCACTGTAAAACATTGGAAGATGTCAAAGAGTTTTTATCCGATGGACCACATTCCACCAACTCCTCCTTTGACCTGAGCTTCTCATTAAATATTCTTTCATTCCTCTCCTCCTAAATGGTCCACATTACAGCAGCTCTAACTGCCTTCTGCATTGTTCCCTCACTACACCCTAGGGAGTTATCCACCTGCAACCAAAAAGAGAACAAAAAGATTCCCAAATAAACAAGGCAAAGGGACAAGAGAATAGTAATGGCATAAGGATTCACCATATACAAAACAAAGAAAGCACACATGTAGGGAAAGACATCTATTCAGCCTCCTTTTTTGAAGCATGTCACAGGTGTTGACCTTTCCAAAGAAACCTCCCAGAATTGTGCTTGAACTCTGGGTGGCATGGACTTACTCCAAATTTCTTTCATTGGGAACTTTTCTCCCACCTCTAATGGTTGTAAAAGTGAATTAAAAAAAAAAGGCACAAGTAAGAAAACAAGAAAGCACACTAGAGTTTATCCAACATCTGAGTAAGGGTCTCACAATCACTATCTCTCAGCCCCCTTCTGAAACCAAAATTCCAACTCACACCCAGAGAAGGTGACAAATCTCGAAATAGGTTATACTTGTGGTCAAACATTAAATAAAGGCTGCGGAAAAGGGAACTAAGAGGAACATCAACCAACAAAATGTCTTCCCAAAAAAGAATCCTTGACCCACAATCCACATAATATCTGACAAAATTAATAAAGGTTGGGTATACTGTTCGGATTTCTTTCCAATGGAAACCTCTAGAGCCACTTCCCTAGTAAAGACGTATTCCTAAGAATCAGATTCCCTATACCTAGTCCTCCCTTCCACTTTGCTTTAATAGTCTGTTCCCACTTCACTAGATGGCGCCTCTTCTCATCCCCAGGCTCCCACAGAAAATCCCTCATAAGCTTTTCCAGCTGACCTGCTATCCTAGATGGAATTCTAAAGATGGACAAGAAGTAAATTGGGAGATTGGCTAAACTTGTTCAAATCAGAGTTAGCCTCCGACCCATCGAAATGCAGTTCCTCTTCCAAAGGGCCAGCTTTCTAGTGAATCTCTTGACCACCGGTTTCCAAAACACTTACTGATCTCAAATTCCCTCCTAGGGGTAGTCCTAGATACTCCATAGGCCATTGCCTACTCAAACCTTCATCCTCCACATAGATGTCTGCTATACAACTCTTTGCCTGGTTCACTTTCAATTTAGAGATGGATCCAAAGGAGTTAATAAGCTCTTTCAAATTTCCAGGATTTTCATGATTGCCTCCCTCACAGATGAGTAACTAGCACCTCACGACTTCCAATCCTCCACTCTCTAAACAAGTTGTTTTGATCAGCCTTGATAAGCATTCTACTCAACAGAATTAGTCATAACAATGACTAAACAATATGTAAACAACACAAAAGAAAAAGAAAACAGAACCTTCCAAATGGCTGTAAAAGGAACAAACGAGAAGTAATATGGAGTGCTTCTAGATTTAGCTTTATAATCAGTCGTCTTACTTGATTTACTTGATTGTCAATCTACTGAGGCCTAAATCTGATTGTGCTAAAATTTCATGCCTTGGTCAAATTTTGATGCCAGTAGAAAGATTCAAATTTTTAATGCTAAAATTTCATTAAAAAAAAAAGCATTACAATCTAAATGGGTGTCAGGATGGCATGCCAATAGAACTAATCCACTTGAAAAAGATTCAAATTGCTTGAAGTTCAAGGACATCCCAAAAACTATCCATCAGATCTATTCTGTTAACTTGTGCAAATTCTGGAAGACCCAAAACCAGTCAGTTACAAACATTCCAACCAAATCTACTATCACCTCAAGGGTCTTCGACTTATTCTCAAACAGCCTTTTATTCCTTTCATTCCATATTGTCCAGCACACTGCCAAGGGAATGCAGCTCCAGATGATTCTAGCCTTCTTGCTTCCTCTGAATCTTGGCCAAGAAGAGAAGAATCTTCTGAACCTTGGCCAAGAAGAGAAGATTTCTGCCAATGAAGATGGCTGAAAGACCCTAATATCAAATAAGAAAGTGTAGAACTTCCAGATGAAGATGGCCACCTTGCAGGAGATGAACAAGTGACAAACTGTCTCCTCATTTGAATTGCATAAAAAACAATAACTTCAGACAATTAGTAGTTAATATGCTATCTAACGCTACCAGCCAAGCAAATGCTTCTACACAAATCCTGTTCCAACTATAATAGGACCCATTACACAAATCCTGTTCCATCAATCCTATTTGTTCAGTACAGTATCCATTATTCATTTATGAGCACTTCTGGCCCATTCAGCTTGTAACAGAGCACTTCTTCTTACAAGTTCTATAGAAGGTCTTCTCTGCACATGACCAAACCATCTTAGTGCACTTCCCATCATTTTTATCAACTATTGGAGCTACTATTAGGTTCCATCAAATAAGTTCATTTCTGTCTGTTGAAATAGCTTAGTTTATTCTGGTTCTTCTGTTTAGTTTATTTCCCATTTGTTCTGCTTAAATAACTTAGTTTTTTATTTGTTTTATGTGCAGGGGCATAAGAGTTATTTTCTCATCTTTCACCCTATATATAATATATTCTGGCGCCACCAGAACTGATTCACTCTCCAAACACTTTCTCCTCTCTTCTCCCTTATCTCTTCTCTCTCTCCTCTCTTCTTCATCTTACTGTTTCTCCAAACTGAGATCAGAAAAGACAACCTACAACTGTACCATGAAAAAAACCATATGAATCAAGACTGCCGAATGCTGTCAGAATGGTTTTGAGGTTCAAACCTCTTTTCTGTGGATCATGTGATCCTGTACCTGAGAATGAAAAACCTGTAGGTCACGGATGATGACCTGTTTTTACCCTTTTTTTGGTGTGACAACACTGTTTTATTATCTCTCCTGGTAGCTGGTGTGTTTTTAGATGATCTGGAAGAATGATGGACCGTGACTGTTAAACCTGTACAGCACTGAAATCAACCTAAAAAAATTCTTTTTTTTTTGAAGAATTAGTGCTGGTCTGTGTTCAGACTATGTCCAGGCTGGAGTGTGAATGTCGGCTGCATCTCTAGCGTGCTTCTAGGACTGTTTTTTGGTGTCAGGAGGGATCTTAGGGTGTGTGTTGAGGCTGAATAGTGAACTGAACTATGTCCTCTAAGAATTCTGCAACTTCTGGAGTTTCTGGAGGTCAAAACGTAATGAGTGGGGAGCTGGATATGAGTTTCCCCATGGCTGTAATTCCCTTTGATGGACTAAATTGCCTCAAATGGTCTAGGGGAATTGAACTCTACATTACTACTAGGGGAAAAATAGGGTATATTAATGGCAAAGTGAAGGAACCAAAGACTGGAAGTGCTGAACATGACAGGTGGAACCAAAAAAATAGTATAGTGATGTCATGGCTCTTGGTTTCCGTGCTGCCACTAGTAAGGAAGACATTCATGTGGGATGAAACAGCTTGTGAAATATGAGAACAAGCAAAATCTACCTATTTGAAGCAGAGGCACTATGCAAAGATATACCAACTTCAAGCTAAATCCTCCCCTTGCAAGTAGGGGTAGAGAAGTCTCTCAGTGTATTACTCAGATTTGACATCAATCTGGAAAGAACTAAACCATTATCAAAGTGTGAATTGGAAATGTGATGAAGATGCAAAGGCCTACAAGCTACTTGTCTCCCAACAGCAAATATTTGCTTTTCTTTTGGGGCAAAACCCTATGTATGAGTCTATTAGGGTACAAATCTTGGGAAGTAAGGACTTACCTTCAGTCTAGGAGGTTTATGCCTTAGTTTAGTTTGAAGAGAGTAGAAAAAGTGTGATGAATTGTATAGAGGGGGAGCTAGTTGCATTGACAGTCCAGGGAGGTACTAGTGCAAATGGAAAAAGCTATTTTAAGAAGGGTGATGTACAAAAGAGGATGGATGACAAAGACAAACTTTGGTGCACTCATTGTCAGAAATCCAAGCACACTAGAGACGCATGTTGGGACCTCCATGGGAAGCCTAAGTGGGCTCAAGAATTAAGTAAGAAATCAGCATTTGATCAAAGTAAGAAGCCAACTCAGTAGAATCAAAAGAAATTCAGCAAATGTGACATCTAAAGAGACTAGTCATATGGTACCTCAAGAACGATACCCTGGTTCTAATCCCAAGGAAGAGATTATCAACTCTTTTCATGATCATTTGGAATTAGGTGGTAGGGCACTTCGCCAAATGGATTATGGCCCTACTCCTTCTATCTCCTTTGCATCTACATCAAGTAACTCTGCCACTACCTTCCATGTGTAATCTCATACATTTGATTCCCTTGGATAATTGACTCTGGAGCTTCAAATCCCATGACTAGTAAGTCAAAGTTATTTCAGGCATATAACCTCCTCTCTAGGAGAAATAAAGTGAGACTGGTCGATGGGTCAATCAACACCATAGCCAGTCAAGAAACCATCTCCCTTCCTTTCGGTCTTACCCTCTCTAATGTGTTGCATGTTCCAAAATCACCTATCAATTTACTTTCCATTAGCAATATTGCTCACTCTTTGAATTATTCAGTAACCTTCTTTCCTTCTTCTTGTGTATTTCAAGATTTGATCTCGGGGAGGACACTTGGTAGAGGAAGCATGGTGGATAGTCTCTACATGATGGAGAGCAAAGCCAGTCTTGTGGCTACAAAGTCTTTGAGTTCGTCTAGTGAGAGTCACACTTATTTATGGCATAGTTGCCTTGGTCATCTTTCTTTTGAGTCATTAAAGCTTATGTTTCCAAAGTTACTCAAGTCTTTGTCGGTTAATGAGTTACAGTGTCTAACATGTCAATTGAGTAAACATTGTAGAAGTTATTTTCCTTTAAGAAATAAAAGATCTGAATTTCCTTTTCACATTGTCTATTCTGATGCTTGGGGCCCTATTACTCTACCTTCTGAGACTAGGTATATGTATTTCATTACTTTAATTGATGACTACTCTAGATATACTTGGATTTACCCTATGCAATCTAGAGATGAAGTGCCAATGATTGTGAAAGATTTTAAACGCATGATTTTTACTCAATTCCAAACTGATATTCATATTTCCAATCGAACAACGCAAAGGAGTATTTTCATAGTGATCTCACAGAGTTATATGTTTTGTTTGGATCTCTTCATTGGAGCTCTTGTGCTAAGACACCTCAACAAAAGTGTTGATGAGAGAAAAAATCGCCATCTTCTTGAAGTTGCTCGTGATTATTACGACATATGCATGTTCTGAAACACTTCAAGATGGATGTCGTTATATGTACTGCATATAGCATCAACGTATACCATCTCAATTGCTAGAATATTAGGCCCCACATCCCTTGTGCTTTTCTCGGTTACCCTTTATCTCAAATGGGCTACCGATACTATGATCCTGCTTCACACAAGTACTATGTCTCCATGGATGTATCCTTCTTTGAGAGTAAACCTTTTTTTTTCTCGGTTTCTCCTTAGAGGAGAGTAAGGTTGAAGAGAAACACACCCAAGTTCAATTACCTCCTCTTCTTGATCTTCCTCCATTCAATGTCTTCCTTCGTCGCCACAAGAGCCAATAAAGTTCAAGAGCCATGGAACCTGACACTATGTAGCCAACATCATCAGACTCTCCAGAGGTAGATCCTCATCATCTAGGTACACTTGTTCCCATTGATATGCCTAATCATCTTGATATTGATCCTCTGTCATCGATTATCTTGATGTTCCTATTGCTAATAGAAAGGGTGTTAGATCTTGTACTACTAATCATCCTATCTCTCACTTTGTATCGTGTGTTTCTTTCCTCCATTGACTGCATTTCTACTCCTAAGAATGTGGCARAAGATTTATCCATACTCGAATCGGCATATGCAATGAAAGAAATTAATGCCTTGCACAAAAATGGCACTTGGGAATTAGTGGATCTTCCTGAAGGAAAAAAAAAAAAAACAATGGGATGCATAGTTGTCAAGGCGACGCCTATGCGCTTTTTGGGTCTTGCCTCGCCCAACGCCATATGATGTTTCTATAACAATTGTAATTTTTTCATATTTAATATTTTTTTATACTTTATAATATAAATATAGACATGATGCACCGAATCATTATTTCTATTTCTTTCATATTATAAAAATTTTTTTATTAATTTCTCATCTTTTTAAGGTTTATAATAGATAAAATATTCAAAGATGAGTTCTATCAGACGAGTTCTTTTTATAATAGATTTTCTTGTTTTGGAACAAAAACAGGGGCTCTGCCCCTTCTTTTTTTCTCCTCCTCCTCCTCTCCTCTCCTCCTCTTCTGCTCCCGTTGTTGTAGGAGTAGGGGTTCCACCCCTTCTTTTTCTTTTTTTTGGAACAAAAACAGGGGCTTTGCCCCTTCTACTCCTGTTGTTGCAATGCTGCTAGAACAAAAAATAGGGGTTCCACCCTTCTTTTTCTTTTTTTTTTTTTGGAACAAAAACAGGGGCTCCGCCCCTTCTTCTTTCCTCATCCCCCTCCTCTCTTCTTCTTCTTCTAGAACAAAAAATACGGGTTTGTTTCTTTTTCGGGAAGAAAGATAGGGACTTTACCCTTTTGTATTTCTATTTCAACAACAAAAATTGGGGTTCATCCCATTTTTATTTTATTTATGTTTTAGATATTAAGTGACACCTAGGTGCCCACCTAGGCAACCAGGTGACTAAGCACTCCCCTATCACCTAGGTTCACCTTGGTGCCTTGAAAACTATGGTGGGATGCAAGTGGGCGTTCACAGTGAAGCATAGGGATGATGGTATGGTAAAAAGGTACAAAGTCAAATTGGTGGCAAAAGGATTTACACAAGTGTTAAAGTGTATGGAGTAGACTATGCAGAAACCTTTGCTCTAGTAGCCAAGATGAACACTATTAGAATCCTCCTTTCACTTGCAACTAATCTTGACTGGGAACGTCACCAATTGGACACTAAAAATGCATTATTAAAAGGTAAGCTAGAGGAAGAGGTGTACATGACTCAGCCTCCAGATTTTTGTGCCAAAGATAGTGAGCAAAAAGGTGTACAAGTTGAAAAAAATCATTATATGGGTTGAAACAGTTACCTCAGGCCTTAGTTGTACAATAAATGGGGTTCAAACAATGTTAGTCAAATCATACTCTRTATGTGAAGAAAGGCGAAGGGAAAATTGCAACTCTAGTCGTGTATGTTGATGACATAGTGGTCACAGGAGATTGGAACACTGAAATACAAATGTTGAAGAAATTCTTATCCACTCAGTTCAAAGTGAAAGATCTAGGCCCCTTACGTTATTTCTTTGGGATTGAAGTTGCTTGCTCTCAAAAGGGCATCTTTATTTCTCAAAGGAAATAAGTACTAGATCTATTAGAGGACACAGGCAAGTTAGGAGCGAAGCCAATTGATTAACCCGCAGAACCTAATCATCAACTTGGTGATAATCAGCGGGAGGCTATGAAAGGTGTGAAGAAGTTCTAGAGACATGTAAGGAGACAATTATATTGTCTATGACCAAACCTGACATTGCATATGCAGTGGGTGTCCTGAGTCAATTCATGTATAATCCTAAGACTTCCCACTTTGAAGCTACAAAAAGGATCCTTAGAAACCTCAAGAAGTTCCCAAGTGCTGGTTTGTTATTCCAAAAGCATGGGCATTTGAATGTTGAAGTATATACAGATGCTGATTGGGTAGAAACAGCCAATGATAGTCTACTAGTGAGTCTTTGTGGGAGGAAACTTAATTCCCTAGAGAAGTAATAAACAAAGTGTGACGGCTAGGTCCAATGTTGAAGCTGAATACAGAGCTGTCTCATGGAGTTGCTAAACTCATGTGGATAAAGAACCTATTAGAGGTGAGTTGGGCTTTGTAGTTAACAGTCCTATGTCACCCTATTGTGACAATAAAGCTGCTATCAACATTGCCGCCAACCTAGTCCTCCATTATAGGACAAAACATATTGAAGTGGACAAGCATTTTATTAGGGAAAAACTTGCGAGTGGAGAAGTATGCAATGACTATGTTAGTTCAGAAGGGCTTGCAGACATTTTCACCAAGGGTCTTCATCACATGCGGCTCATTGGTTTGTGTGACAAGTTGGGCATGATTGACATCTATATTTCAACTTGAGGGGGAGTGCTGAAATAGCTTAGTTTTTTATTTGTTTAGTTTATTTCATATTTTTTCTGCTTAAATAACTTAGCTTTTTATTTGTTTTATGTACTGTAAGTGTCGAAAGGGCACAAGAGCCATTTTTCATCTTTTAAGTGTTGCCCTATATATAATAATGTATTCTGGCACTGCCAGAACTGATTCACTCTCCAAACACTTTCTCTACTCTTCTCCCTTCTCTCTTCTCTCCTCTCTTCTTATTTCTTCTATTTTTCTCTATTAGTACTGACCATGTCCTTTTTAGTTTTCCCACCCATCCATCTCAACATTCACATTTTTACCAAACTCATTTTTTTAACATGTTGCTACTAGAATATCTTTCTCCCATATAACATAATCCTTCTCACAGTCTCATACAAGGTCAATTTCCATTTCATTAGTAAACAGAAACTCCTGGAACATAATTTTGACAAACCTCCATTGAATGTAAAGCATCTCCTCCAACAATTAGTTTTGGATGTTCCTCATGTTCTTTAAATCCCTCCAGTTTTTTATATTCCACTGACTGAATGTGTGCAATAAAGTTGGTTGTCTTATTATAAGACTTTTACATACCTGATCAGTTCCAATCATTTGGCAGGTTCAGGCCTGGAATGGTTTGGAGCCACCTATGTCAAACACAAACCTGAAACCGATAACACCTACAAACAATACATTTGGTAGTCTGGGTGTGGATATGTATGGATTCAACCCAAACACAACAAGTTGAGGACACTAAGAGGAGAAGCTAGGGTACCAATCATGAGTTCAAGACCAACTCTATTTTTTTCCACTTCTTGTTCATGGTTGTCTTCTTCCATACATACAAAATTTGTAATGCAAAAAATACATTGTTAATTACGAGCCACTTAAAAATAATAATATAGAATATCAGTCTTCTAAGGAAAACTTTGATAATGCAAAACATGCACCTGTAGGGCATAACAAATTTCTCTAGCCACATGCCTGTCCTTCACATGCTTTCCAAGGGACAAGTTTCTAAAAGCAGTGTAGCCAATCAAGAAAACACCACCCTTGGTTCTCCACTTTGTGAGCAAATCCAACCTTCTATCCCTGTAAACCAGAGGACCATGTGATGTGAGCAGCTCTATTTCATACAAAGTAGATAGATATGAAAATAAATTAGAATTACTTGTATATAACACAGAATGCAGTGATAAAATGGTTTAACTCCAATCCTTCCACCAATAATAAATAAAAGAACAAGAGCACAATCCATCCACATTGCGCAGACCCATGAGAGTCTCTTGGATAAAACTATGATGCATCATAAAATGATTCTCTTTATCTATTAGTTCCCACGTCAAAAAGGACCACATCCCACAAAAATCAACACCTTGCTCCAAATGGGAAGGGATCATGAGGAAAGAATACCATAAGCTATAATGCATTGAAAAGTATTCCAACCTTGAAACGTCTTCCAGCATAAAGACACGAAGTGGCTTTAACTCCACAGGTCTCCACTTTACAAATTCTTGTCGCCAATTGTGCAACACATTTACAGGTGTAACAATAAGTGCAGTTTTAAACCCTAAATCAACAGCTCTCATAGCAGTGTACAGAAAAGCTATGACCTGCACATGCAATTTGAGAATCATAATAAACTTAATAAATCAAAACCAAAAAAAATGCAAACCATGAAAAGAAAATGACCATTTGAACTCCAAAATAGAGTAAAAAATACTACTGTAATTTCTTATCCTGAGARCATTGAATATATACAAAACATTATACAATCACCATGTGTCCACCAATAACAAATGAGTAGAAAGTTTTGTACAGACTATACTAGATAAGTATATAACATGCAGATAAGGTAAAAAAGATAAAATATTTACAGTATCCACTAAAAAAATTAGACATAGGACATAAGATCAGAGAAAAAATATCACTTGATGTTCGTTAAGTGACTTTTCTTATAATAAAATGAAAATATTATAAAAATAAAAAGAGAAAACAAAGGAAGGTGGCCAGCAGTCAGACGAGTGGAAAAGGGATAACTTCACCTCCAAGATTAAACCCACCCCCCTTCAACAATACACCAAAAACAACCAAAGGCCAAAAGAAAAAAAAATACCAAGAAAAACATCTTAACACTGCTAAACTAAACAAGACGAGTCATTTGAAAATATTTTGAGTGTTCAAGTAATTAGTCACCAAATCTTCCTTTCCTTTCATCCCACGGCAAAGTTTTTTAAGCTCTCTAATTGATCTAGGGTTTAAAATGCTACCTTCCTCCCCTAAAAAACAACCAGTATGCACTTCTCTCCCCTGCCAGCTTTGGTTCCTGAGCCTCTCAGCTCCTTCTGTCCAGGGTTGACAGGGAAGGAGCAACAGATTGATGATCAGCACCTGCAACTAAACAACTAAACTAGGACTAGCATATGGGTGGGGATGTTACTTGGATGGAGAGATTGGAGGGTTAAGGGTAGGCTCAGCTGCTGGGCAGTCATACCTGCTAGCTCCTTAGACTGAAAGGCTATTGCCTCCGTTTCAGCTACCTGTGATGAGAACCTCAAGCTGGCATAAAGAGGCTTTCACCACCTGTGAAAAACAGTCAGCTGGGGCCAAACATAAAATTTTGAGGAAAAAGGTGCCTCACTTGAGAAGAAAACCCTAGTTTTGGGTGGTTGAAGAGCAGTTCTTTGCTTGGAATAGCAAATCTAGTTTAGTAAAAGCCCTAATTTGATATTCGTTTGCATCGATTCACTCAGTGGAGCAGACTAAAGGAGAAGCCAAATATCCCACAGATTCCAGGCTTGGACATGGGGGGCCAATGGAGACTCTGTTAGGGGCAACGACCACTATAAAGTTGTATGAACCAATTATTTAGCTTGGTCTAAAATACATGTGTGTAGTAGAGGAAAATGGGGTTACATTACCGTGAGCAAGAAGAAACCGGCAGAGGATGACCCTAGCTATGAAAGGTGGATGTAGAAAAATACATAGTAGTGGGTTGGTTAGTGAACTCTATGCAGCCACATATTAGTCACCACTACCTATGGATGGAAACAAGGAAGTGTGGGATAGTCACGGAGACTTATTCCCAAAAGTTGGATGTTGCTTGGACCTACAAATTGAAGAATGATGCGAATAATTTAAGATAGGGGGAGAAGCCCTTAGCCATCTACTTCTCCATGCTGAAATCTCTTTGGCAAGAAATTGGTTTGATGGAAATTGTTGTTTGGGGGTGTAATAAGAATGCAGAAACACATAGGAAGTTGGTGGAGAGAAATCGGGTCTTTGAGTTCCTCATTGGACTCAACCCGAAATATGATATTGTGAGGCAGAATGTTTTGGCAAAGATTGAGGTTGCATTGTATCAGGCTTATACTATGGTGAGTAGTGAGGAGAGCACAAGACAAGTTCAGTTTGTAGAGCCGCAAGTTGATCATTATGCTAATGTTGGGATGAAACCAAAGGTTAACACTAGGAAGAAAGATGTTGTCTGTGAGTACAACAAGAAAGAAGCCTAAACATATTAAAGACACCTATTGGAAGCTGCACCCAGAGCTCATTCCTGCCAGGCCCAAGAATGGAAACAGTGGAAAAATAATTGAGAATGAAAAAGGTGGAAATGCAAATGTAGACACCAACTCACAAAATGAACAGAGGCAAAGTGATGAGAAGTCAGCGGGAGAGCAACTTGCAGCCGCTAGGGTTGAGTATGAGAAGTATGATCGAATAATCAATCATCTAGAGTCTACTGCTATAGCATTTACTTCATTAAAAGACAGTTCCTCTACCTATTCACACTCAGGTATTCATGCCACTACAAATTATGTTACTATTTCAGGTACTCACAAAATACCTTTGCATAAATGATTCTAATGCCTCTGACCATATGACCAGCGTTAACCTTATAAACTCTTTTCTAGCTAGAACAAGATATCCCTTTTCGATGGCTCTCTTGCTTCTATCATAGGAAATGGAGACATCAAGACCTCACATGCTCTAACCTAATAATTTGTTCTTTCATGTAACTAAACTTAATACTAATTTACTTTCAATTAGCAATTTGACTAAATCCCTAAATTGCAGTATGACCTTTTAGCCTTCATATTGTGTTTTTCAAAACATGAAATCTCAGAAGGTAATTAGGAGTGGCCATGAGGTGAATGGGATATATCTGTTAGACATGGCCGAGTAAAGTCAAGTACAACCTCAGAGAACTATTTTTATTTCACAATACACTAGTCGTATTATGTTATGTCATAGTTGTTTGGATCATTTGTCTTTCTCTTCATTGAGTCAATTGACTCCAACTATTTAAAGGTATAAGCCTATCGAGTCTACATTCTGAGTCTTGTGAGTTCTCAAAGCATTGTAAGAACACTTATCCTTCAAGTAATAAAAGATCGACTATTCCTTTTAATATTGTTTACTCGGATGTGTAGGTGGCCTTACCATTTACCTTGTATGGGTGGTATTGTTTACTCAGTTTGATACCCACGTCAAAATATTTCAATCAGACAATGCTAAGGAATGTTTTGAGAAGGATCTTACCTCCTACCTTGAAAATTTTGGGGTTGTTCATCAGAGTTCTTGTGCTCGTACTCCACAACAAAATAGAGTAGAAAAGAGGAAAAATAGACATATTGCAGAAGTTGCAAGGAGTATTCTTTTTGCTACCCATGTTCCTATCAAATTTTGGGGTGATGCAATTTTAAAAGCCACTTATCTTATTAACCATATGCCTTCCCATGTCTTGGGGTTAAAGTCTCCTTTTGGTGTCCTCTTTCTTGGTGCTGAGGTTTTCTCCATTCTTGTGCATCTCTTTGGTTACACTTGCTATGTCCAAATTCTCAATTCCAAGAGACATAAGCTTGAAACCAAGTGTATCTTCACATTAGTCGCACCCAGTTTGTTTTCATGGATGTCACCTTTGTAAAATTAGTTCCTTTTTATAGTCATCCTTCTAAGGGGGAGAGTCTCTTGAATAGTTTTCTTCAACCCTTCCTTTGTCAGCTCCAGTTGAGTCTTGTGTTGAGCCCTCCATAGTTACTTCCAATCTCGAGGAGGGATCCTCTCCATCAAGGTCTTCCATTCCTGCTCCTCCCCCTCATTCTAATAGACTCTAGTTTTTACCACCCATCCTATCCTTTAGAGGTGGTACCAACAGCAAAGACTAAGGCAGACACATGTTCATCCCACATCTCCATTTGAGTCTCAGGTGTTTCCAATCATCAAAGAGAGGACAGGTTTGACATCACCACCAGCACCTTCGTTTCTAGACCTTAACCTACCCATTGCTCTGAGAAAGGATAAGAGGAAATGTATAACCCCAAAGTCAGCGACTGAAGCCTTAGCCAAACCAGAGTGGAGCCTGTGGAGGGATGTCGTAAGAACTAAAATAGAAGCACTTCATAAGAATAATGCTTGGGATATTGTTGACTTTCTAGCTGGGAAGGAACGTGTTGGGTGCAAGTGGGTTTACACTATCAAGTATCATGTAGATGAGTCAATTGAAAGATATAAGACATGTCTTGTTGCCAAGGGATATATCCAGGTGTATGGGATAGATACATTGAACCCTCTCTAGTTGCTAAAATGACTTTTGTGAGAGTTCTTTTTATCTTTAGCACATAGTTTTCAAGGTGCAAAGGCGAGGCTAGGCAACAAGGGGGCGCTTGGTCGCCTAATCGCCTAGGCAATGGATTTTTTATGTAGAAAATATAGATCCTAGGGTAGTTTCCTAGGTACTATAACCATATTTCCTTACTAATTTTCATACTTTTCATAAAAAAAGTATAGAGTTCATGTTAAAGTATAGAAAATCAGCATATTCATGAGAAGAAAGAGAAGGAAACTAAAATTCAAAAAATATAGGGGCTGAAAAGTAATAGTAGTAGTAGTACTAGTAGTTCTTCCTTATTGGTTCAGGTTTTAAAGTCTTTGAGGGTTCAATACAGCATTTAGCAATGCTTGTATTGATTAAGCCCTAACAAATAAGAAAATAATAAAAATAAATTAGTATATAAACACAAAAAATGAATATTTTAGTTTAATAGTGCTTGTTTTATAATTATGATGTCAAAAAATAAAGAATAAAAAAGTATAATATAATACATAGTACAAAACTGCTTAGCAATTAAGCGAGGCGAGCTTCAAAGGGCGTCGCCTTGACAACTATGCTTTAGCAATGAGTTGTGATTAACCACTTTATCAGTTTGATATTAAGAATGTATTCCTGAATGGTAATCTCATTGAAATAGTATATATGTCCCTTCCCCTTGATATACATGGTGAGAAGATCCAAGGTAAGATCCACATGGTTGGTATGACAGGTTTAGGGTTGCTCTTGTTCAATTCGGCTACACTCAGACTCAATCAGATCATACCCTCTTTGTTAAGAGGAGAAGTAATCTGGTCACATTTCTTATCGTTTATGTGGATGATATTTTTGTTACTGGTAGTGATAGACAAGAAATTAATGATCTCAAAAAGTTCCTCAGTTTTGAATTTGAGATCAAAGGCTTGGGGGAGTTGTGGTGTTTTCTGAGCATTAAGGTTGCTAGGTCCAAAGAAGGTATCTTTATTTCTCAGTTGAAGAATGTGTTGGATTTTCTTACCGAGAATGGGAAACGTGGTGCTAAACCTGCCTCCACCCCTATTGATGTGAATCATAAACCCTTGGTTGATGATGGAGAATTTTTAGCTGACAAGTGAGTGTTTCAGGGACTACCGGGAAACTTCTTTACCTATGTATGACTCGTCCAGACATTTCATATGTTGTGAGTGTAATCAGCCAACTTATACATGCTCCCCAGAGACACAGATATGGTTGTTGCAGAAATGGTACTATGCTATCTTAAGGGAACTCCCAGGAATGGTATATTATTTGCTAAACATGGTCATATGAAAGTAGAAGCATATGTTAATATGTAAACACAGATATGGTTGTTGCAGAAAGGGTACTATGCTATCTTAACGGAACTCCCAGGAATGGTATATTATTTGCTAAACATGGTCATATGAAGGTAGAAGCATATGTTAATATGTAAATACTAATTGAGCAGGTAATCTTGATGAAAGGAGATCCACATCAGGCTATTATGCTATGGTAGCTGGGAATATTGTTTCTTGGAAAAGTAAAAAGCAGTTAGTGGTTGCTAGTTCTTCAGTTAGTATAGGGCTATGGCCCATGGGGTTTCTAAGTTGATGTGGCTTAGATCTCTCCTTGATGAAATGGGTGTCTCATGTGACAAGCCACTGATGTTATATTGTGATAACTAGGCTACTTTTAAGATTGCTCACAACCCAGTTCAACATGATAAAACTAAACACATTGAAGTAAACAGACACTTTATACAGGAAAGAGTGGCTTTAGGAGAGGTGTGCCTTCTTTTCATTGCATCAGAAGAGCAACTAGCAAATTTTTCTACTAAGGGAGTTCCAAAAGCAAAGCTTCAACCTTATGTAAGCAAGCTGGGCATAATTGACATCTATGCTCAGCTTGAGGGAGAGTGTAGTGAGAATGGGCCGAATGGGCCTTAGTTTCTTTATTCCTTTTAAGTTGTGTTTTATGTTTATGTTCCTCGGTTTATGGGCCTTAATTATGGGCCTCATTTGTTTTGTTTTATTAATTCTTTAGTGTTGGCCACCCCATTAAGGGCATCCAAGGAATTGTGCTCGGTTTAGAATTCATAAATATAAAAGATATCATGGTGGGCTAGAGATCGAACTCTTCTCTTCTCACTTCCCTTCTCTTCTCCTTTTACAAACTTCTACTAAAATTTTTTCTTTTGTCTTTTTTTATATTTCTGAATTATTGCAAGTGTGTTTCACAACTAAATGACCAAACAATTGTAAATGAAACTCTTAGCACAAAATTAGAACAATAACCAAGGTACCATGACACCATCACACATTGATGCCCAACCACCAAGTAAATTAAACATATCGATGCCTAGTACCAAATGCTAGTGCATTATACACCACATATCTAAAAAATAGGTTTAATTAAGATGAGTCCACCAAATGTCCATCCACTTGGCTCTTACTATCTTACAGATATGTGGTGTAACCTGCATTTGCAAGTGATGCAAGGAAAAAATAAAAATGGTATCCTCTCTATACATGTAGAGAGAGAGAGAGAGAGAGAGACCTGAAATGTTTTACCAAGGCCCATCATATGAGCTAAGATACAGCCAAGACCTTTATCCCCGGACTTCACCTTTCTAACAGACTGTATGATATTTTCCCACATAAACCGAATCCCTGCAGTCTGCAGTAATTACAAGTGAATTATTAAAAAGGGAACACAAATGAGGGACATTTGACCGGTCAACCCATGTCAAAAATTAAAAAAAAAAAACAACAAAAAATCAGACACTGAAGGAGCAACTCCAAACATTCATTCCTTCATGAAATTGTCAATTTAAAATAATATGCTAATGCAAAGCACAGCCAGTTCTAACAAATTATAAAAAAAGGAATACACTTTGCCAATAGAAAGTAGAAAAATAATATAATATTAAATAAAATAAAAACTTAAGCAAACACCTAAAACTATAAACACCAAAACAATAAAGAATATCTAAAGCAAAATTCTACCATTATTTTGAAACTACTCATTGGTAAGTATATTTGGATCAATTTCATATCTAACCACTTGCAATCACCATTACACTACCAACAGCCAAGGAGGAACAAAGGAGTGATATGTGCTCTTTTCTTCTTCTTCTTCTTCTTTTTTTTTTTTTTGACAAAAAAGATACCTAAGAAAAAATTATAAAGATATACATGAAAAGAAGCATGAAGACATTCAATTGTAAAAAGCATAACGCTATGCATAAATATAGAGAAGCTTTATATATAGAACCAAAACAGAAGTACCAAGTACTAACAGGCTCCAAAATCTAATATCCAAAATACCTTTTAATATAACACAGAGAGAGAGAGCTGCAGATTCAACAAAATCTATTCCTAAAACATTAACGTGATTTTTTTCAGGTCAACAAATCCAATAAAATCTATGGAAAAGTACACTGCACCCCACCGCAGAATTCTGAATTCCACTGCAGACCTCCAACAATTCAAAATGTCAAACACCCACACCCTAAACAATACCCGCCCGTGTATTGGCATCAATTCCGAGCTGGCACCTACCCCAACTGTACGGTGGGGCTAAGAATTGTGGGCTGAATAGTCATTCTCCCTAAAACCTACAAGTAAAGGTAAGCCCATTTCTGAGTTTGCTCTTCCTTCTGCATCTTTTTCTGGGTTTAATTTGAATTTTGGTCTCTTAGAACAAAACTTGGATATTCTAAATTCTAAAATCCAGTCTTATTGCAAATACTGGATTTCTTGATCCTTGTAAGGTTGCTGGTCTTATCTAGATTCCCCACCCTCCGGTTGGCTTCTCAAATGTTTAAACCTTGTCTAACCCCCTTCTCTCTCTCGGATTTCTGTAAAAGGAGGCAATGATTGGAACGTGAGATGTGATTCTTAGATCTTCAGAAGATTCACAAGAAGGTCCAACGCCACTACCATGATGATGTTACTGTTATTGTTTTGTTCTTAAATCATGACCTTATTTCTAGAGGATCAGTACAACGCCCTCCAGTCTCTGTCCAAATTGCTCTGGAACACTGATAACTTGTAAAAAACCTATGTTACTTCTATCCAATATTTTGGTCATTACCCAGCATAGCATGTTTATAATTCATCAAAAACTTATCTCATGAAAATGATTCCTGAGAGTGGCAAGTGACAAAGCAATTGCTGCAAACATTTTTCCCAATTTTTCTCTGGTTTGAAGGCTTATACAGTTCCAAGAGACTGGTAAAATGTGTTCAGTTTATTTGTTAGGAGACAGTTACCGCATCCCTGTAGTTCCCTTAAAATACTTTTTGCCATGGCACGTGAAAGAGCAAGGAGCCATTAATATTCGGTACATTAAAGAGCATCAAAGTGGTGAAAATCGTCTTTTCTGATGGATGAATGAAGCAATTTCAGATGTCCTGGTGGAAGATGCTGAACCTAGAGAGGCTTTTGCTTTGCCATTGGCAGTTAAGGGTGCAACCTGGTTCAATGAGAGATGTATCATTATTTTGGGCAACTGTCTTTGGGTAATTTTGTTTTTCCAGAATCACATAATTTTCTTTAGAGGTATACTTTGAAAGTTTGAAGAACAATGAAGGGTAAATCATGCATTTCAATCTTTCTGTCCATATTTAATGGTGATGTCCTATTGTTAGAAAACTTGAGGGTACTTTTAAGTAATTTTGCAAACAGTGAGGGTACAGTTGGTTCATTTGACAAAACCCAAGGGTACTTTTAAGAATTTAGCCCTTGAAAACATTACAATGAGGGTGGCAAGTTGATGAAGACTATGGATATTTTTTTATAGCAAATAAAAAATTTAAAAAAAAAAAAAAAAAAAACAAGATACAAAGGAAGGTCATAAGCCATCACCCGAGAAAATGAAACAGCCCCCCAGAAAAGCAACTCCCACCTTCCCCACAAATTACAACAAAAATTCGAGGGACATCCACCTCAAACTCAAGGGAACAAAAGCCGCCTAAACCAACAGGAGCACAAATCACACCCAAGAGACCAATCCCAACTGAAAAAAATATACTCCCCGGGCTTCAAACAACGCAATTCGGCAACACCAATCATTTTTTAGATTCTGACTCGTACCACCATCTATCTTCTTTTCAGCAACACCACCACCATAGAGGAATGAAAATGGAGAGAGCTTAAAGCACAACTCGATTTCTGACCCTGTTCCACCTTATCAGGCATGCTAGACCTATCTCCAAAGGGGCACCTCAGCTTCAATATCAGGCTCCAACTCCTTCTCTGAAACCTTCTGCTTTAACTTCTTATTCACCACCCCCTAGTATCTTGTAACTACCCACACCCAGTTATCCTCTTCTCCACCTCCCTTAGCAGCTCCACACCTTACATTGAGCAATCCCCCTTTCCTTGAGACACTAATCCTCTTACCAATACTACCTTTACCTTTATTAACTCGTAGACAACTCCCATTCCTCCTTTCGAACCAATTGTGCTTTTATTTAAAAAGTGGAATCCACTTATAGAACTCTCAACCCTGGGTTCCAAAAACATCAATGATATTATTAAAAATCGAGGTGCAATGGTAGGACCCTAAAAAAAGCCAGAGGTGATGAGGAGATGGACACTACCAAGAAGAGGATTTTTGAAGTTGAACTTTGATGGAAGCAGTCTTGAACTCTTGATAATGCAGGACCATTGGGAACAGGAGGAACATTAAAGAATAAAAATGGACTCATATGTGCAATGTTTTCTGAACCAAGAGATGGAGGAAACTCAATTAGGGTAGAACTCATGACAGAAATTTTTGGGGTGTAAAAGGTAATATAAATAGAGATTTAGAGACTTGTAATTGAAGGAGATTCAAGAATAGTGATAAGCTAGTTGATGGCGGATGGTAGCACATTATGGATTTACAGGAATGAGAATAAATGATTTATGTGGTTTTAAGGAATATGCAGTTAACAATACAATGGGTACAAAGATCAGCTAATAGTTTGGATGATGCTCTTGATGAACAAAGGGTAAGTCAGAAACTAGGAAACAGATATCTTGGGCACAATTGCAAAATGATATGATGAGAGGAGAGACAACATGGGCTATGCTCTCTTGGACTATAAAGATATATATAGAAAAAATCTCATGATGTACATTATTGTTTATTCTTAATAAAACTTTCTGCTATTTATCAAAAAACATCTAAGGAATATAAAGGAAAGTGAAAGTTATGAGGCATAAGAAGTTATGGTTGGATGGTTCAACCATCAATTGGGGCATTATGGGGAATCATGTTATGAGATAAGCTTGTGGTTGAAATTTTACACCAGGATGTATCAGCCTCTCTTGTTCCAATTCTCTATAAAACGTTGCTATCCATTCTCAAGGATACGCACAGGAGTTTGTGAACCAAATGATTGAAACATGAAGAAAACTTTTGGGCAAAATTAATGGCTACGCACAACTTGTGGAACAGGCTTTGCTGCTCAGGAGGGAATATTAACACCACCCTGTTATCTCGAGTGTGAAAAAAAGTGGCTTGTTCAATTAGATATTTTGGAATTTAACATTCCTAGCAACCAGGAGGTTTCTTATATGTCAAAGTTTGCAATATCCTCTATTTATGTCGGTTCAGAGTAAACTCACCCAAACGAATCATTGGAAACCATGTGCACAATATCTTACCATGTCCCAGATTTTGAAGACAGGATGAGTAGACAGGAACCCTGTCCCATTTGAGTTAGAAAAGATGTGATTCGAAGTTACCAGGTTGCGCATGGAGTATTGAATAGTTTTTAAAATTTAAGATCTTGATGACAAGGAAGAAACAGGACTTCTATTTGAGGAATGTTAGTGTAGGGGTATTTCTGTCTTTATACTTATGTTGAGGTTGCTGATCTGTAATATTATATTAGAACTAATGTCCCTCACTTAAATAAGGGCACATGTGTCTTTTCCATTCTGTTAATAATATAAAAAMATGTCTGGCYGAATGGGGGAGTAACTTTTACCCTAATTCGAACCAGACTTTTCTTCTCTCTTTTTCTCCTCTTTTCTCTCTCTCTTTCTTCCCTCTTTCTTCCTCTCTCTTCTTGACTGTTATCAGATTAACAGAACTCAAAGGCAGGCCGAATTCTAACATGGTATCAGAGCTAACTAAGCAACTCGGATCTGCCTAGATTTCTGTTCTTTGCGCACTCAATCTAGGATTTTCCCTTGATTTCTCTAGCATCGATTGGAGATAAGGGGAAGGGCTGAAAAGGAGTGGTAGCCCTCTTCCCTTGGAGGTTTCTATGCCTCCAGTTGTGTCTTGTGTGGTCGGTTGTTGTGGTTTCTAAGAAGCCCTCCCCTAATCGATGAAGAGAAGAGGGCTGATTTGTGTGGTGCAGTAGGTGTCTTGTGTGGACTGATTTTCTTCTCGTGTGGTTTGTCTTTCAAGTGATAAGGTAAGAGATTTTTGTGCATATTTTCTGTTATGAATCAAATAGGAATTATGTTTCAGATYGTATGATGGAATTTCAGACTTTAGTGTGCTAGGGTTTATGCTATTTTTTGTGTGATTCAAAGGAGGAGTGGTGCTCATATAGTGGTGAGATTTCAGGTAGTCGTAGGGTAGGGTTTGTGGTGTAAAGAGTACAGTCTTCAGCAATAACAAGTGCTGAAACCAGTGTGATCAGTGTGCAGTGTGCTGAATTCAGTGATAAC